AGTTTTCCATTGATCTTTGTTTATAGGCAATATAACTGTCCAATATGCGAAAGCAACTTGTTTGTATTCATCGAAAAAACTCCAGTCTTGTCCAAACTGGACGCTTGTTTCTCCTGAACTTGCAATCAAGTATGTTTTTTTTTATTGAATCTGCCTTTAAAACCACTACCTTTCGGTCTGACTTCGCCCATTGGTAACTTGCGGTCCAATCTTTGAGCTCGATTGGAGGAGAATTCGAAAATGATTCCATCAGGTGGGTTTCTGACCATTGTTTCACCATATCTAAGACAACAACCAAAAATCTGGATAATGGAAAACGTTCTCGCAGAGTATGGCAATGTTTGATTGATCTGTTAAACGATTCAAGCGCATTATTTGTAATAGGAGATCCTTTTGAAGAGCCAAGATACCAATTGGGATTTTGATATACCCACTCTTTCTTGAAGTAAGTTATGAATTCTCTTTGGTCGGCATACTATATCATAAAAGCTGCTAATGCAGACTGGAACATATCTGGAGATGTAGCGGAGTGTAACAAATCAATATCCTGTAATATAGTCTTCTGCTTTTTTTGTCTACTAGTCTTTCTACATTGCTCATAATATTTTTTTTTGCATGGAACCAACACATTTTTACAGTAGCTTCTTCACCAAATACTTCTTTAAATGCATTGATTATGTTCATAGCCGAGTCGCAAATTAATGCTTTTGGGTTTAAAGAGTGTGCGTGAAGGTTGAAAGCGCTGTTGCGAAGAGCTTCAAACAACATTTTGAAATCTTGTTTACGTTCAGTAGTAGTAACGGCAAGACAAAGAGGATGAAACTTCTTAAATTTATCAGTAGTACCGACTAATAGTACAGGAAAAAATTGCCAGATTAATTTATATGTAGCATCTGCGTGAATGTTTGTGGCTAATGTTGTTAACTTTAGCAGAGACTTTGTAGAGATTGCAAATCGAAAAGTCGGAGTTTCATTGCTCTCGTAAACATGGTAACCAATAACATAGGGTTCATGTTCATCAACAGGTGTCTTAGAATTTTCTATTAACCAAGCCTGTAGTTCCCCGAGACTGATTGGTAAACTACTCGACGGCGGTCAGACAAATAATTATTTAGTTGTTTCTTTGAGGGCAGTGTAATCCCTTGAATTTTTTTCAAACTGTTTAATATAGCTTTAGGTTTCAAGTGTAGAGCGAAAAGTTTATTAATTTCATCTTTTGTCTCCTGACATATTCCGTGCCGCGTCTCTTCTGTAGCAATAGATTCATGGTCATGATCAGAGTCAGCTCGATAAAGTAACACGTCACTAGAAGTTGCTTCAAAAAGCAAATAAATACTTGCTGCACACTGAGGTCCTCGAAACTTCACTTTACTACAACGATAAAACTTTTTGTTCCCTTCTTCAGTGTCGTGCGAAACTTTGTACGACCACGTATTTTCAGCACGCACAAAACTCTCGGCTTCCTCAGCGTTTGCGAATTTCTTAACGAATGTATACACTTTGCCCTTTGACCTCTTCTTCTTCTCCAAAGGCTGCACTTCTTCTTCGCTTTCATCTGAGCAGTAAACGGGAACATTTTCATTATTTTTCGTACCACTACCGCTGATTTCTGACCGGTCTAACTCCATGTTTTTGTTTACTAACGTAAGAAAAACTTAATACATTTTTGCACTAAAACAATGCAAAAAGATATAGTTCACCAAGTAATTAACTTATTTTCCACTTAAACTCGAGCAAATTATTCTTATAAAATGAATGAAAACAATAACAAATGCACGCGACCATGCGCCGTGTAGGACTGCGAAATAACATCACACGATCTCTCTCACAGCGAGGCGATGGAGGCGACAGGGGCGAGCGCGATGCGACTAGCGCGCGCGAGTTAGTTCGTTTGATCGCCGCACACCGTTGTCAAAAGCGCGCCAAATATGTTTTCAATAAAACAGATTAACAGAAATGAATATAGTTGGGTAATAGGGATTTTAAATAAACAAGTAGTAAATTTGTGAAATGTAATTTGGTAATCTAAATATGCATTCTTTGTTATGCAATTTTAGAGAATGAATTCAGTAATTCTGTTGTAATATTGGATAATTAGGTGTGCAAATCAGTATTTTTGTGAAGCGGTAAGTAATTTTGTTTTAGAATACTTATATATGTGGTTTTAGCTAGATTTTCGTTGTAAATAAAGTAAAAAAGTCAAGGTGATTTTAATTTATTTTAAACATTTTCTGATACTACATGTTTTGTTATCCAAGTAGTTAACTTGATATACAGTCATTTATTTGATATACAGGTAGATTATTATTGGAGAAATGTTGTTTGCTTAAATTTTAAATAGAGGTGTCATTAAAAATTCCCTTTTTTAATGTTCTTTTTAAATGCTATTTTAATAACAAATTCCTCAATGTTTTTAAAACAAAGTTCATTTGTGTTAATGATGAATCGCTGGAAGATTTGTGAGAATGAACGATCCCGTTTTAAAGGAGTATTACCCCATTCAAACATTTTTTTTGAGAACTGCTCTTTTAAAATAACGTAGGTTAATGTTAGACTGATATCTCTACAATAATTTAGAAAATTTTACACTTGGTTTCTGAATTGAGAATTTAAAGTTAAACGTCTCAAACTAACATCATTTAGTTTTCGTTTCCGATTTTAGTTTTTTGATGATCAGTTGATAGCAGTTTTATAAAACTAGGACTATTTGACTTGTGAAATTAAAAAAAAAATTAGGTTATTTAGAATAAGCAGTAGAGATTATCTACTTCTTTCAAATCAGAAACCGGCTAATAGTCTGTAAATCGATTTAAGCATTTTGACTGTCTTGTTTATTGATTGTCTGGTATTATTTGCATGGAAGCGGTCTTATAAATCACAAACTAGTTTATTTCGTTTTTAGAAATGAAGAAGTCCCAAAAACAGTTAGTTCAGGGTTGAAAACACTCATTTTTTTTCAAAAACTTTGAAATGTATTATCTCCGAAACTATTTGACCTAGGCATATAGTTTTTTTTTTACATCATATTAAAGACAAATAGTACTCTCCAGGAACCTCGAGAGTGTCGGTCGTTCTGTTCCACCGGGTATACTACATTACAACGTTATTTTGAAATTGAGACTGAGAGATGTCAAATGTGGCCTGTTATAATGACCCAACTGTAAATCCACGTTGCAGACCGTAGGTGCTATCCATGCGTCATCGAGCTCGTAGTGCTATAACATAAAATCCAACTTGAATTAAAAAAACATAATTCCAACGGTAATAAGGGTTTTATTCACAAAACTATTTTTTATGCAGACATTTTTATTTATTTCATGGAAGCTCTATTGACGCAACAGCGTTGAGTTCGATGATCAAAGCTGTTGAATAGGCTTTAGCATACCTAATGATTGATTGGTATGGGTACCTACGGTTGAAAAAAAATACATTTAATTTAAATACTACGTTTTCTTTATTATAAATGCTTCTAATCCGAGAACCATTGTTAGAAAGTCTCCGATTTTGTTGTAAGAACCTATCGAAAACACAAAAGCATATCCACACATTAAATGGTCATGTAAATTATACCTTTATAAAATTTTTCCACTTATCCTTCGCTCAACTTATCGCAACTGAAAGATTTTTTAACAGAGGGAGAAATTTCAATATCCTCACATTGTCTTTTCATTAGATTACATAATATCGTCATTTCATTTCATTTAATTAATGTCTGTATTTAATACTTTGTTTCGGAGTTTAATTCGGCTGTGAGAGACGATCAGATAGACAGACAAACCGAGTGATCTTATAAATAAGCATACTAAAAAGTTAACAACAAAATTTGTGGCGATATATTTTTTTTTTAGTATTATATCAGCTGAACGAGAGAAAAATAGAAATAAGTAATTACGATAAATGGATTTTGAGGCTTTGACTTTGTACCATACAACGCAGACACGGGACTTAAACTATATTTTAGTTCCCACCTTTATTTCTTTCATTCAGAATTTAAGTACTTATTTCACTGGGCTAACTACATATATCAAAGAGCGATATACCTACTACTTCATAAAAAGTGTAATTTACACTATCCTATTATATTAATATTATAAATGTGAAAGTTTCTTTGTTTGGATGTTTAGATGTTTGGATGTTTGTCGGTCAATCACGCCGAAATTACTGAACGGATTTTGATGAAAATTGGTATACAGATAGGGTATTAGCTGACTTAGATAATAGGATAATTTTTATCTCACTAAACATTTCCCTAGGAAGATTGATAAGAAAAACGTTAAATGAAAAACAAATACTTCTAATAAGAGTGTAATATATTTAATAAAACGCACTACGTGCGGTAGATACAATATGATTGATAATGTATTGAGATAAACATCGGCTAACCTACTCAAGAAATAGAGATCCAGTCAAATACATGTATATTATGTTAGTGGTTACACAAAAGTTTAACAACACAGACGTTAATAAGCAAAATTTAGCACAAAAATACACACATTGTATAAGGAAACGTTTTGAACGATAACCTAATAGCATTGTAGTTTCAACATGTAATGTATAATATGTTATGTAATGTAGGTAATTAAAGTTAGATACCACTATGCAAAGATAAATTTTCACATGACTATTTTACTCGTAAATGAAATAGCTGCCAGTTCAGACAAATATATACCTTAATCTCCTATAGATAAATAATGTTGCTTTTTAAGCGCCTAACAGTTTCTTTACAGTGTAACCGGGAACGGCGTAAATGAGCAGCAAAAACATGACGGCTACCAAAATGATGATGGCTGCCTTCAGAATGGTCCACTTATAATTGTGCCACACGATATAACGTATCGATTTCAGCGGGTTTAAAAACCACATGAACGAAGCATCGGGCCGGCTGAAAGAACAATAGAAAGGTAAACGTATAATTCATTAAAGTTTTGGTAAATAAGGCAAAGAATAACGACTACTGTTTGTGTAAATTCTGATCTACTTGGATTTACTAGAGAGCTAGTTTAGTCGATCACGTACTTAGGTTTATCCAAAGGATCTGGCTCATTTCGTCCAAGGCCAGCTGGCACCTTATCTGCTTCCTCTCTTGTTAAGAGATGTATCTCAGCTTCTACTTTTCCAGTCAGTTCCATTTCTTCAGTATCCCGTTTGATATAAAATGGCCACCAACCCTTCACACGCTTTTGCTTGAAAATGCTGACCATTGGTACAGAACCATCATTGCGTAACATATCCAAAGTGCATAATTTGGAAGACTTTGCCCCTCGTGGAAATCTATTTAAGTCAAGGGTAATGGCACCTGAAAAACATATATTAATATTAATAACATATATGAATAAAAAATCTTGTTATTGTAAAAAACTTTGTTGTTGCTTCCAGTAGCAGAATAAACAAACTATAAATATAAGTATACATTCGTAACAATATACAGACTATTTTATTATGAAGATTACGTAAGTATTATATGTTATAAAGAATCTAAAAAATCGAAGATAAAGTTAGTGATTAATAAGCCCTCAAAGATTACCCAAGAAATCGTCAGCAGAAAAATGGTCTGCATCCCAGACTTGCAATTCTAGACGTGCTGGTATTTTGCATTCAGTTTCATCCCATGAAAATACTGATTCTTTGCGAGAGATCACTATGCGCTCCTCCGCTTCCAGATAATCGAAGGGATAGATGAAACGCCAATTAAAATTGCCTTCTCCAGTTAGGGAGCGATAATGGATATCGGTGCATTGACAGTCATCGGGACCTCTTACCCATCTGTGTAAGTATATGATATGAAATATTTCAATACATCTATGTAAAAAAAATAAGATATAGCGTAAATATTAAGACTGAAGACTTGCCCTTTGACGTAGATATCTGACATTTTTTCACCCGTAAAGAATGCGTCGTCCTCGAGAACTACATCGTCGGTATTCCATATTATTACTCGCATCTCGTAAGATTTCGGCTTACGCGCAGATATGTCCATTGGAGGACCCGGTAGAGGCATATCCATTGGAAACATGTCCACCCACATCTCCAGACGACCTTGCTCGATACCTTACATGAAACATCAAATCAATTTTTCTAAGCAAACATCATTTTCAGTAGGACTTTACCATATAGTATTAATTTCAGTTGGTCTATCGTTGGTTCAACTACATTAAAACTATTTTTTTAGAAGTATAACTTAAATGAGATAGAGTTAATTAGTTAGCTCTTGACAAAGGAAACAAATGAGGTTAGGTTATTATTTTACATACCGGGCTTATTAGGGTTGTAAAGCGGTCTAGTCTCCACATGTTCCGTGACCAACTTGGTTCCAACTCGAGGTACTTCTTGCCAACGACGAAGAACTACTAATGCCATCTGTTCTTCAATAGTGTCAGGATTAGAAAACAGATCAGTATCGTCCATGGGCATGTTGAATACTGTTCGGCCGACTTTAACTCGCCCATATTCATATATGGGTGGATCTAATTTACCATCTTTACAAAGTTTTGCAAGAATTTGGGTGGGTTTCATTGCATCGCGCCATCGGTTGTAACCTTGCCTAAATAAAAAAAAATGTATAAATCGTAGGCAGTATATTAAAGTCAAGAAAGGTTGATGAATTTTTACTTACTCTTCGTATTTCATGGGCAATCCACAAGTTGCTCTATGTCGACTGTAAAATCGATTCTCCAAATCTATCTTTGTTTCTCCGATTAAATCATCTGAGCCCAACAAATCCCAGTCAAGTACTTGTATAGTCAGCATTGAATCTTGTGGGAATGTTGCTTCAATTTCGAAACACTTGCCAAAAACTGGGTTTAGTTGTTTTGACACATAGTTTTCTTTATCACTTATCCTCTTAGAACCTAAATGCAGCACTATATAAGGATCTGCTTTACCGTTCAAATCCATGGGATGGAGATCAGTTGCTTTGACAATGTATACTCTAACTAAAACATGTATTGGATCGTTATTCGGGACGCCTTGGAAGAAACCGTAATTTGGATCAAATCCCATCACTGTATGATCGTCAATTCCTCTTGGTAGAGGCCATTTATAGACTTTTATAGCACCCTAAAAAAGATTTTTATTTTTGTGTACAAGGCCCTATTTTATTAATAACGATGCCTTTATTCAGAGATTCCAACTGTACAGCTTTTGTTGCACAGACAATGCATCAGATAAAACTGTTTAAGAAATGGAATATCTTTTTCATGTAGTTTAATGTTTATTTTTTTTAAGTAGAATCATCTGATGGAGGGTTCGTGATTAATAGGACCTGATAATAACATGAATTTCACAAAAAGAAGGAAAAGGCAAATATTACAACAAGTATGGTTATAGAATGTGTATGTGCAGGTGACAAAAAAGAAGATAGAAGTGTAAATAAAGACTATACCAAAAGGAATTAACGATAAATAAGAGAAGAGACAAATAGTTGATTGAAAACAAAGAATCAGGGTCAGTGGGTAAGGCAGGGTTTAAATTCAACTGTGAAGTATAGAAAACACATTAAAACCACATTGCGTGGCAACTACTTACCTTAAAAACTCCCACCACACGATTTTCATCTTTTGAATCATCGCCTGTTTTTTTACCTCGATATAGTTCAAAGGAATGAAGCCATTCTTTGAATTCATCATACTCTGGAACGGCTTCGAGTTCATGTGGGTAAATCTTACAAAAAATCAATATGTAATATAAATCATTAAGCATCATAAAAAATATAAATACAGGGAGCAACAAAATGACCGACACAGCCGAAAGTTTCAAGTTAGGTTATATGCAAGCGTTCATTTAATTTGACAAGTATTTCAAAATAGTGGAGGTGTAAAAATGGAGTAAAAATTTTAAATTTCTAAGTGTTGAGAGCCCTATAACGCACATGCGCAATATCGATTGTGCGCAGATAACAACGGACCGCGAAATACATTAATTTAATTTAATTATTTACCGATATCTTAATGTTAGTCGATGCAGAAAATATCCAATTCTTCTCTGAACACAGCGCAAAACAAATCACATTTCACACAAAATTAAACACAATCTTCACTAAACTAAACTTAACACTCAAAACGAACACTGTAGTATTTTATTAACAAAAATTTAATTCAAAATGCACTAGAACAAAACAAAAATCGACAAAAAGTCTCTTCGCAGCAGTACGGTGGCAGTGATGCAATAACGTACCTCACGCGCAAATGTCCGGCGGTGACTGAAACAAAGGCGCCGACGCCGATGGAACAAAAAACCGCGCGCACGGTGAGTGAATGGAGTGAAGGAGACCGGTTCGCTTTGCCTTTGATAACTAGGGACGAATTAAGTTTATCTATTTTTCGAATTCGTATTTTGTTACCACGCAATTGCTTTTGAATTTTCTTTTTAAATACATTTTAAATAAGTAACCAAACCCTTTTTGAAATTGTTAACTAATTGATAATTGGTAACATTTGGATTTTAGTTTTTTTATGATCAGTTGATAGCAGTTTGATAAAACTACGACTATTTGACTTCTGAAATAAAAAAAAAACTTAGGTTATTGAGAATAATCAGTAGAGATTTTCTCCTTTTTTCAAATCAGAAACCGGCTGTTAGTCTGTTAATCGATTTAAGCATTTTGACTGCCTTGTTTAGTGATTGTCTGGTAGAATTTGCATGAAAGCAGTCTTATAAATCATAAACTAGTTTATTTCGTTTTTAGAAATGAAGAAGTCAATGACCGATTAAAAACTTGTTCCTTAGTACGTCCCAAAAACAGCTGACTCAGGGTTGAAAACACTCATTTTTTTCCAAAAAAATTGTAATTTAATATATCCGAAACTATTTGACCTAGACATATAATTTTTTTTACATCATATTAAAGACAAATAGTACTCTCCAGGAACCTCGGGAGTGTCGGTCGTTCTGTTCCACCGAGTATGTACTTAATTTTATTTTTTTGGATTCCTGTACTTACTTTAGTCAAAGCAGACGTTGGTATTTCGTTCTTTTTTGGGATTGTTGGGCTCACTTTAGTTCTGGGTGAAGGAGTCTGTCGGCGCTTGTTGCGGTCACGATCTGGCCGGGGTGAGTGTACTTCTTCTCTCGGTGAACGTGTCTCATCAATGTAAGTCATTTGTGTTGGCTGAAGAAACCCTTGCCTTTCACGTTTAGCTTCTTTCTCCTCTTCAATCATGGATTCAACAGATGCAAAGTATTTTGTCCACCAATCCTTGCTGCTTTCATCATCGTCAAATACTGAATCAATACTAGCTTTTCTCTTTTTAATTGATTCACGTTTATTGAATTTCTTGCGCATCGGTTGTTTCACACTAGAACCATATGTTATAGCCGATCGTCCATCGCGGGTCAACAGCGGACAATTTTCTTTCTCATTTTCAATTGTGAAAACATCATCTTGAACGATACAGTTTGCACGTAAATCGACATTTTGTAGTTGAATCAAGGATTTTTTCCTTTCCTCTATTTCTTTCTCCCTTTTGCTCATAGGCGTATAAATGTATTTATGAATGGAATTTATTGTATGGGTTCCCACAAGAGTTATTCTGCCAAAGCTTCTGCAATCTACGACACGTATGGTTAGCGGAGGTCTATACAAATCTTGATCTGGCAGTTCTACATCAACAAATTTCACTGGATTTGTAAAGTTTGGATTACGTTTTGCGCTTTGAATCACTGTTGAATATAAAATATTTCCGGCGCATTCTATATCTACTCTCGGCTTATCAACAGTCAGAAGATGAATGCGTTTTAGATCACGCAATCCCCAAAAAAGTACTTCTATTCGGTATTTTGAAAGAGTTGGACGAATGCCTCTTGGAACTGGAAGAATCGGACCTTTATTTGTATCGATGGGTGGTTTACCATTTGCTTCTCTAGGTGTGGGCAATTCTGGTAGAATTGATGCATCTTGTTTACGTGGGATCTCCAACAATTCGAAAGTAGCTAGTAGTTCACCTGCTCGATCATCCCCGCGAGTGACATCATACCATTCGAGCGACGGAGGAAACTGAGGTCTTTCGTAAGTATCTTCAAAGGCTTTGACGTGAGGTTTTGCCAACGTGCGTCCGATAAATTCGGATTTCCCCACTTTGTCTTGATCGAATATTTCAATAACTATTGTCGGAGGATCCGCTTTTATTTGTTCTATTGTACTGTATAGTAAAACATCATCAAATACGAGTAGTTCATCCCACGTAGGGCTTAGAGTTTCATCAATGACCTGTGTTGTCGATGTACTATCCCCTATAACTACTCTAGCAAACGGATCCGATAATCCTGAAGAATCGGATCCTATTAATGATCTTGCTTGATAAACATATGCTCGCATCTGAAAATTCTAAAAGAAGATAACAATAATCAATGCAGATAGTCAAACAATATAATACCAATAAGAATAAATATTGTTGTTTCTATTACGTGTTTTTCGGCATAAAATATGGTAGATGGTGCATTAGAACGCAATTTATCAGCATTTCGTAACTCAGAGCTGACTTCGTATCCCTGCGGCAAACCGTCAATATAATGTTTCTTATCTTGCAAAAGGCCTAACCACAAGTATACAGTCATTTTTGCTGGTATTGCCCAACCACTAGGTGACGCCGCCTTTTTACCGGGCCACTGTGAACAGAGATTGTAACGTATACGTTATTATCCGCTTAAATACATAGTGCAATATTGATCGTATATAAAAATTATTCAAATAAATAAAACCGACTTCGAAAATGTAAAAATAATAACATTTTTGAAGTCTTATTTATATTTATCTAAGGTTAACGAAAATCATAAGAAGGCAAATTATAGAGTCTTTTGTTTTAATTTATTGGCTTTAATAATTACGTCCAGTAATTATATTATGAAACCAAATTGCTAATACATTTTCGATTAAAATTGTATATTTTGTATAGATCAAAAGCCCATATTACCTAAAAATGATGACAATTAGTGGAGGGATCAGTGGAAGTACATAAAGAAATCATAGCCGTCGAACATAAAACACCTGCCTTTACGATTTTGAAGTCAGTTCATTCATATGTATGGTACATATGAAGCATGTAGAGACTCCTTCAGACAAACAAGAGAGTGGAAGAGCTTATCTCTAACATCTTTGTGAGGATGTAAATTGAACAGATTGTCTCTATCACTCTCTTATTTGTCTAAAGAACGCTTGCTGAAGCCGGCTCATGTCGGTAATGCCTCACTCTTGTATGCTAGATATTAGTAGCCTTTTATAGAACGCATTGAAGATTATTTTTGGCTGTTGTCTTGTGTCTGCTTGGAGATGCCCCATTCTTGTGTACTAGATAATTAATACACTTCTATACAACATTAATACATACTATATTCTATAAGTTTTTTTATGTCTGCCACGAAGCATGTTCATTCATGTTGTAAGCTTTTGTGTTATAAGCTGTCGCATATAGCGATGTATCGTGCTTTGAATAGCACGTTTCTCAAAATTTAATGAAATTGTAATATTATTTTACCTTCAGGAAAAGTGTTTGCATTTTACCACAGTATTTGCCACTTTCATCCACATAATCAGAATAAATGATGTCCCTGGCTGGAATTCTTTGGTAAGCCAAACGTTTACCATTACTTATCATCCAAATAAATACGTCAGGCATCGCGTGTTGTGACTGCAGAAAAATATTTTTTAAATAATAAAAATAACATAAATATCTATATTTATTAATATATTTTCGTAAGTAATAATATTAATAAGAAAAAGCAATCAAAGTTTTAATACATCTGGTTTATTGGTTCAATTCTGTAATCGATTTTGAATTTTGCCATCTTAAGATTAAAGCTTTTCAATAGCTAAATAATTTATATATAATCTAAAAAGCTGAGAACTATAGAAATACTCGTACACCCAAAATAAAGCTAATGAAGTTTACATTTTGTAAATAAGAGTTGTCATTATTTATATTTATATAAAACAAATAAAATCGAAAGTTTTTACTTACATCCTCACAAAGATGTTTCAACCTGTTCAAGTAATTATACGCAGTGCGCAAGCGATCCTTTATGGAGTGTTTTGTTATCAATGCCTTAAGACTTTTAGTCATTGAGCAAATTTGTTCCTTAAAAAAATAACAGAAATTTAATAATAACCATACATTATAAAAGTTTCGATACAAAGGGTACATTATTTTGCGTTTTTCTTTGGTGAAAAAAGTGTTCGCGCATAATTTTTAGAATTTTTAACAAATTATATCCTCTTTTGGTGACCATAATTTATAATTTTAATTTTTCGCAATATAAATGTAAGGTAGAGTGTAAAACACTCACTCATAACTCGGTTTATATTTACTTCGTCGCTAAAGCTCTGGAGTAAAACTACCTTGTATAGGTATAATAGGTCGACGGGCTACCCTTCATTCAAATTTACTATTTGATCAATCTTTCAAGTGAATGTTATGTACTCGCACGATTCTATTGAACTTTTTATTACTATATTATTGTTCCTTTTCAGTATTAAGATTTTAAATTAAATCTAATCTCACAATTTCATGAAGACATAGTTTCTGTCGTTCTCGATCCAACTTGGTATTCCCAATTGGTGGTGCGTTTGTCATATGTCGCACGTAAGCTGCGCATGAGTTGCTTGCCATTTCTAAAGCTGACTTGAGGACTATCACGCAGTTGTTCTCAGAGCCCATGTCTGTTTCAATGGCCGCTTGAGCATCAGTCAAGCCCTCCTCCTGTGAAAACAACCCATTAAGGCAATTATATATTATACACCTACAGGTTTTTTTTTACCAATGCAGTTTTTTCCTACGGTTTGGTATCGTTAATAGAACGGAAATGAAGACATCAAGATCATTACAGTGTATTTTTAAGGCCATAGTGTATATTTTTAGTTTTTACTAAAGTATAGAGTATATTTAATAAACCATATAAAAAAACACGAAGAGCTAATTTCTCCTCAATTAATTTTATAGATTATTTGATTGCAACTAGATTTGGAGTAATTGTTTAAATGTACATAGTGACATCTACTTTAATTAAGAGAATTACTTATTTTGTAATTACTTCTCATTATCATATGGAGTCGAGCTTTTTGAATAGGAATGTCAACGAGTATTAGTGAATAAATGTTAGAATGCGAACGATGTGAAAAGGGGAACGCTCTGCAAGTGGGAAAATGGCTAAAACGCAAAATAATAGTGCGGATACCTTATTCTTTTCAAGGTTACAACCATGAGCTTGACTAGTAATTTCAAGAATAACAAAAAGTAATTGAGTATGAGTGATTGTATAAATTCCTGAATCTTTGGCTACTCACAAATTTTTCGATGATGTTAGCTATCATGTTTGAGTTATACATGCGTCGACGGTGATCAGGCCAAATGCTGCGCACGTGCATACACTGTTTGTGATCCCAATACGGTAAGTAGTAGTAGTTTTTGTCGTTGGACGCGGCTTTTGTTGGTGTTGTGGTACTTTGCCAGTAACCTGTATCAGCTGCTAATTCATCTTTAATTAAAATAAAATAAAACTCTGATCAAGCATATCAATTAACAGATTGTTTTTACTTAATATAACATTATTGTCAATCAAATTATTCAATTGTAGTAAAAATAAACATTCTGAAATAATATAAAAAAAAAATAAACAACTAACCTACAAAAAAAGAACAAATGTAGTATATTATATGGATTTATTAATTTAGTTTCAAGTAATTAATGAACAACGAATGATATGTACAAATTTAAATTATTTTAACAATTTGCTTACCTAGTTCTTCGGCTTCAAGATCTTGTGGCCGCTTTACGGATTCGTTGTGTCCATCCAAAGAATTGCCAGCATTGCCAATGCTCAACTCAAACTGCAAAGGTTTATCTACGAGCCGTTTGTCTATCATGTTGGCGTCGAAGACGCTGGCAAAAAGGAAGAACTCCTCGTTCTTCTCGAAACTGGGCTCGCTTATCGGTGGGACTGGCTCCACTTCCACTTCGGACACCGGACATTCTATGTTATCGGTTATTTCTGTGCGGATTGAAATGAGTACCCTGTAAGATAATTGGAGTACGTTTCACTTTAAAATTTTTATGCACCTTTTGCAAGTTAAGTGTCAGATTCGTTCCATCCTCGTTCCATGTTTAGCCTCGGATATGGGTCTAAATCACAAGTTGTGAATTTGAAAATGAATATTATGTAATATCATTGGTTATACGATATTTTTTATTTGTATGTATTCTGACATCATTCCCTTCTCATAAGCGACTTCCGACTTCACTTTAATGAATTTGACATTTGTTCAATGATTGAATATGATTAAAAAGTGAAGCAAAAGGTTAACGTGGTTTAGATTAACCTGTATTTAATATAGAATTTCTTAATATTAATACCTGTTTTTTATTTTTAAACTATATTGATTTTGTGACTTTTTTTTGTGGTCCAATTTCTTTGGTTTACTTTGGAATAACATTAATTTTGCAAACTTTCTTCTTATTAATGGCTTACTACTATATTTTTACCTGGCTCTATACGATACTCCTTCTCCCATCCCCATATTGAGATTAGCATGTTGGTCAAGTAAGCTGTAGTCTCGAGTAGATCCATATAAGTGAACAAAAGCAGGTCCAAAGGTTGGGAGAAATCCTGTAAAAGAAGAGCATGTTGAGTGTTAGTCTAACAAAGTAAGCATAACATTTATTTTTCGTGCACACCGCAACACATCAATTTACCATTATATGTCAAATTCCCTTAGTTTATTTCGAACTTTTCTTACCATGTATTTAGGTTTAAAATCAGTGGCCACAAATTGACAGTTTTAATGACCTTCCGCGCTGTTGACTATACCAGAAAATGATATACCTATTCCAATTTTCACTTGCGGTATTTTTGAGATAATTAATGGATATGAACAATAACTTGGATAATAATTTTAGACGTGATTACACACACCCCTTTCTCCGTCGTGTGAAATAGTCTTGAGGTCTATAAAGTGAGTTCCAATGATGTTAGGATGCACAGGGTCATTGTCACGGAGCTGAATTTTGAGACGCTGGCACAGAGGTGGGAACATCTCGTTGAAGACTATTTGCTCATTCCACACAGGAGTATAGCTGTTCTTTTTAACGGAAGTGCAACCCTGGATAAGTAAATATTAATGTTTAGCTATAACTATAATGGTGACACACGTAAATGTTTCCAATGATTTAATAGAAGGAAATGAAGTCTATGTAAGGTAAACGCAGGTATTACCGAGGTAAAATCAAGGTTTTAAGGTTTAAACCTTCGAAATAGAAATTTCCGATTAGTATATAATAATATTAGTACTTAAAAATCTGTGAAAAATTAAGGAAAAAAATACATTTTGATTGTTTTTTGTGTAAAAACTGCGGGCATTTTGGTGTTTTTAAGAGTTGTAGCGAATAGTAGTGCTACTTAGGAATCCGATACCAAAAAAAGATTGAACATAATTGAGAAGTTGTAGTCGTGGTAGTTGAAAATATTATAAAAGGTGTAAATTTTCGAAAATTTTCGAATTTAATTTTATAATAAAAAAGATTAATAAGATATAATTTTTTTCTTATTTTTCCATAAGTACACATGAGCAGGTCTACCTCTTGGCACCCGCTTATCGTTGAATTTTGGGACACGTTGTATATATTCAAGAAGATAATTGAGTAGCTATCACCACGGTATTTTATTTTTATTTATTGTCGAAAAATAATGCAATGTAAAGGAAAATTTAATAATTACAATAATGGTTGAAACTATAACTTGCGACCTAGTTGAATCTGTAACCTTGTGACCTAGTTTGAATCTGTATATATGGTTTCTTTTAGACTCTTTAATCCTTAGCAAAATATTGACTGCACTGACGTATGATGATTTGCGTTTATATGGACGTCATGCTCTGGCAACGGCTGGACGCAAACTAATCGTTTTTTTGTTTTTCTGATTTGATGTGCATAGTGTGCCACGGGTACATTCAAACGAATATAAATTGATATTTCATAAAAGTTTAACTTTTTGCGAAAAATATGCCTGCAATTGCCTTAAACTACAATTATATCACATACCTCTATGATACCTGCAGATTTTCGACTACCGCGGTAATACCTGCGTTTAAACTTTTTGCCACGATTTAATTTTGATAAACGATTAGTTACCTACCAATCAACCTTCAGTAATAACGACACTATCTAACTGTTCTGTTTTAAGTTTTTCCTACATTTTTATATTAATTTAGCATTTAAATTAACTGAAAAAAGGTTTTTTCCAGAGCTTGCTTTTGTACTAGTTAACCAAGACGTTACTTATATTGAATTATAGTTAGATGTATGAGATCCCGTATGATAATCCATATACATGACCGATGGTATATAGGGTATTTTTAGACCCTCTACCAAAACTGATAGTGGTAAAAGAATTCAGAAATCAACAGTTTTCACCACTATGGGTCGATGCAAGATCTGAAGGAAGATGTGTGTTGTCTCGTCGGTCGCAGAACGTCAAAACTGAAAAATTATATTATATGACATTCGACCTTGTACACTCGACAGAAATTGTCTCACGTCCTGAAATAATAAATTCTTCTGTGAGATGTTTTATGGATCTTCCGGCAGATTTGCACCGACCCCAAATAGAGTCACTTTTTTCATTTTTTATACATAAAGTGGTTGTCTTGACATTATCCTGGATCTTTGGCAACATTATTTGGAGAAAATTAAGTAATATAAGAAACATTCACAATAAATAAAAAATACTTACTTCCCAACTAACTCTTGTCGTCTCAATTTGATTTTTAGGTCAATATTAAACTCACAGTCATTCCAGCGAAGCAAACTTGAACGTAAGGATCGACGAGATCTTGGGTTTCTCCAGTAAAAGCTCTCTTCACGTTGGCCAGTATAGAATAATTCATCTTGGGTAGGCCATCTGCTCGATAAATCTTCACTATGAATCTGGCACGCTGACGTTCTATTGGCACTCCGTCAGGCAGCAAAAGATTCCTGGAATAAGGGCAAATGCAAGAATATATTATATAAAAGAAATCTAACGGCCGATTTCTGATTTGGGAAAAGTGAAAAATCTCAAGTTACTATTCTCGATAACTTAAGTTTTTTACATTTTAAAAGACAAAAAGTTTTGTCAAACTGCTATCAATTGATTATTAAAAAAATTTAAATCAGAAACGAAATCCTGTTTAAGAATATTTTGTATAATAATTTCAGCTCTGAATTACAGTCTTGGACATGACGAGTGATTGTGCAAGATATACTTCTGTAATTGTAACTGTTGTGTGTGATATGCTTTTAATTTTTTTTTGTTTTTTAATATTTAGTTCTCGATATCCTACAGGTGTAAAATAGTTTTTGATCTAAATATCATCAAAAAAGTTTGTTTACTTTGTTTCATTGCTATAGGTACATGTCATGACAACCTGTAATTAAAGCAGCACCATTGTAAGTGACTGTTGTAAGCTTTACTGTTATACGATTGTGGTATAACAATTTTGAAGTATTTGAATTATTAAGTGTGTACAGCGTTATAATTTCAATAACACGCACGAAAGTGTAAAGAACAGGAAGCTTGGCGTAGGCGTGACATAGTCAAGCCCAATCAAACTTTGAGGTGTGGTACATTTCACGTTTTTACTTTTGTTTATTGTTAAACGATCTTATATATTTTTTAAATTTACTTTTGTCGGTGGAGACTACAAAAACCATATTGAATTTAGACACAATGAACTTGACCATAAATTTTCACATTTATGTTTTTTGTACATTGTCAAAGTAAACTTAGTAATAAACCTCGTTTTACATGTTTAGATCTTACATAACAGTTCCTGTACTGAAATTGGTATTTGTGAGAACTAATTACTTTTTAAATGGTCTCAAACCAGCTGTCTATGCTGTATTAGCGAATAAGACATACCTAGTTACAATTATAAATGAAACGATGGATACAAAGAAATTGTGACAGGGAATTTCAATACCGTGGCATGTAAAAGAAAAATTATTAAAAATATCTTCAAAAACAATCCCGAAAAGCGGGAACTGAGAGCGATATTGTTTTACGGGTATGAGCCCTGCGGGCGAGGTGTATTCCGAATATTTCTCAGGATAAACATCAAAGGACTTTATATCTATTACCTACATTCATAAAAGTGATAGTAAAAGTGCGTAACAACTTTTTACGTTTATTTATTAATAAATAAACGTGTGTAAATACAAACGCGTGACATTCAAATGTTACAAGTTCTTATAGTTCCTATTTACCTACAATAAAAAGATACTTTCAATTCAAGACTTCAACCTTTCACCTATTTCATTTAATAGTAAATATAACTTAAATAAAACTTATTTCATACTACTTCAAGGTGGAACTTGACGTTGGCGGTATCATTGTTTTGGACTTTTAATAAATGGTGCTAGTTAAAATACTAGATAATTTAATAACTTTTATGATTGCTCTTGTAAGATATAATTAACAAATAAATTATCTATATAAAGAGCTTCATTGACAAATAAAACTAATGGATCCATTACACATCAATCCTCTATCGGCACTCTACTTTTAGATCCGAGTATTTTTTGATAAAAAAAAAGATAAAAAGAATCTAAACAAAAAACGGCATAATTATCGCTATAATCCATTGTGATATTTGTGCTAAATGGCAAGCATTGATGAGCAGAACACAATGACAGAAAACAATGAGTTCTCAGAGTCAACTTTTAACTTTAACGCTGTTAGTACACCGACGCAATCGCATGCGAATGTGAAGTAGTTGCAAAATCTTGTCAGTTGTATGGCAATGTTTCGCATGTGCTTTGTCTCGCTCTATTATTAGCTCGATGATATAGCTGCGTTCTTGTTAGTATGATTTCGCAGTCAACTGCGAAAAACATCGTACCACAGACTATTATTTCTGATTATTTACCGAATGTCACGAATCACGAATTTTGTTCCTCAAAGGTCATTCGGTTCGTTTTCGCATAGTTTCGCCTTCGCAAGCGAATGCGTGGGTGTACTAAAGCGCGTAAAGCACATAACAGCACAACTCTTTCATTAGAGGAAATATTGATAAACAAAAGTGTCACTTTGTATAGAAGGACTAAGATTAAATAATTTTTACAATGGTTTAAAAGTAATTAAAATAGTTTTTGGCGTTCTGTTTTATGTAATACATCTTTCTCAGTATATATCTAATAGACTTCATCCCCCTTTTTCTTAATTTTAAAATGCAGATTTCATAAATGTTTTACTTAATCTTTAACGTAAGAGCCTCAGAAGAAGTTTAATGCGACTAGCTAGTCGTTGTATATTGATCACTGCTTTACCATAAGCGCTTTAAAAATATGTGTACAAAACCAATAGAAAGATAGTGCCTTTAGTGATAAGAAAGGCACTATCTTTCTATTGGTTTTGTACAAAGAAATAATATCCAAATTATTTGATATAAAAAAAGATAATACTACCCATATTTATCTAGGGTAGGAACCTCTCTTTATAAGAAAAGATGATAAATATTTGAATCATTTTGTTGCCGAAGACTTCTCCAAATTAATGAATTAATATACATTTATGCACAATATACCTTTGTTAGAAACAAATTATCCTACAGTAATCTTAGTAGTTAAAGCGGCAAAGGCTTAAAGCTTTTGCCGCTTGTGTAGCACTCTTATAACGGCATTTGTATTAAACTGCCGTATATGGTATAGGTCTTCTCTCTTCATGTTGCATTAATTTAATCTGTGTAGGACTTCCTGGACAGCAATTTCATTAGCGATGTCGTCGGATCACTTTATAGCGACGCGATATCCCTTTTCTAGAGTGAATCAGGAAACGGATCTTCAATGAAATCGAATTCATTATTAGGTAAGCTCCTCTTAGGGGTGGCATCTATTATGTTATTTTAAATAAATTTTAGAATTAATACCACATTATATTCTTCTTCTTTTATAATGGCTTACCTGCGCGTGAATAAATTAATTTCTACAGAAATTTTTGGTATTGATTGATATATGAATAGAAGACGAAAATGAAATGTATGAAAGATCCATATCAGATTAAGTTGCCAATTTGGTAGAGATGGAAGTTAAAATGATACATATTAAGGTTATCTGACGTTCTGCTCTGTGAACTTAGCTATTTATTAAAGTAAATATAAAAAAAAATTGAAAAAGCACGTGTGTCAGGTGTCAATACATGATCTTGGTATAATAACAATATATTAAATTCACCCACTGTGAGATTTCAACAATCACATTTCAGTCATCTTTTATTCATAATCAGAATAATAAGAATGAGTGGCTAGACACAGAAATAATTCTAACCAATTTAGAAAAAATACCCTTGAAATTTATCATACCATAGAAATCAAATAAAATTTATTTTTATGTGAAAAATGTTTCAATTCTGAACACCAGTTGGATATTTAACTAACTTATAAAATAATCAGTAGAAAAAGCAGATACACTCTTATTATGCAGATTAGTTCAATATCATAAAGTTTTCGGGAATTATAATTATCTCCGTTCAGACCATCATGAAAAATATGGAACAGATAAAAAAGCACAGATAAAAGCAATCACAAAAGTTTGAGGTAGCCCCAGGGAAATGTAACTGTTCAATCTTGACCCAAAAATCTATTTATAAACAAGGAACAGACCATTATGACCTCTGTTCAGAAAAAGGAAAGTTGATTTTGTTTTTTTTTTATTAGATTTGATTATGCATCTTTTTATTTAAAATACTGGCCATTCATGTGGGTAAAATATATTTTTAAATTTAAAAAAAAATGCTTCATCTTTCTAATATTAGTTTATATACAACATACACAGTAATCGTTTGATACCTGTAAGAAAAAAACGTTCCAACCGTATAGAAATTGGACAATAGGCAGAGCAGACGCTCTGAAAATTATAAGTGTAGGTGTAATCGATATGTTTAACGAATTAATTCTTAAATGTATTTTTAAATATTTTAATGGAAAGAAACGTCATAGATTAGCGAACTAATTTTGAATTGGACTTCTCTGTGTGAAATATGACGGAGAAAAGGAGCAGCTCTTGCTGAGTTTCTTGCCGATATTACACATTACAGACTTCTGCCTTAGATTGCGACCTTTAGAAGATAGTTTTTGACTTTCACGAGTGCATGTAACAGTCAATATGGCACCAAACTTAAACTAAGACTAAACAATTTCTAAACCTCGTATACCATCGCACTAATATGTAATACACATTTCATATATATTTATAAAGCAGTAGATTATGAAATCAGAGGGTGACCAAAATTAATTAACTCTTCCATGCTTCGGAAGGCACGTTTAGCCGTTGATACCGGCAGCATCTGCAGTAAGCTCATTCTCTCTATTCGATTCGATTCCATCCACAGGGCCGATGATGATGATGATGATGTTGAAGATTATCAAACGTATTATGACCATATATATAAAAAGCAAAAGACAATATCGTTTAAGCAAATGTTGGAAAAAAGGTGGTAGATTTTGTATTCGAGTGTTTTATACGTTTTTTTCCATAGTTTCAACGGGAACATATTTAACTTGGTAACAGAAAAATATGGCGAGGTTATGCTAGAAATATGATATAGTACGTGACACAGACAATAAAGTCATAAATATAAACTGTCAAAAGGTACATGTACAAGAGTCGCATATAAGAAAAAGCTAAAAAGACTATATTGGTCAAGTGCGAAAGGATTTGCATTTAAATGGGTCCGTATTATAGTAAATACTATATCGAACAGTTTGGAGAAACAAAGATGAAATTAGTAGGTCAATCAATTAGAAAGATCCGTGTATTGAGCTAAATAGAATAAATTTACCTAGGGAGTTAACGACTGTCCCACAAAGAACAACAGACAATTTTATACAATGTTTATATTGAGATTATGTAG